TCATATCCTTATCCTTCCGTGGTCCTGTTCAACACTTAACATAAGTGCTAATGTAAACCTTCAGTCAAAGACCAACTGAATCGAGAATACACTACAGTCTTTTTCCAAGTGGTGTCTCACTGCCAGTCTAGACTGTGAACGAATAGTTTAGTCTTATAAGGAACCGATAGGTGATCTTTCTGTTCGAAACTCTTCGAACCACACTACCTCAATATAAGACATGGAGTATGTATTGCATAAATAAATAAACTGCAATAAGTACTTTGACCGAAACATGATTGCCAGATCAAAATGGAATTGATAGAATCTGCAAAACATAGCTTTTACAGCATACCTCTAACAGCCCGACGCCACGAAGACCATCTGGTTGCGACGCGAAGGGGACGGGCGGACGTCCGATTCACCGCAACCGACGCATGGACCCGATCAATGCAACCGTGGCCTCATGACCGACCATCAGCGCTCGACCACCGGGGCCAGTAGTAAGGCGGCTATCTCCCGAGGAAGTCAAGCGTCGGCGAGAGAAGAGCCTATGTTTCAAATGTGAGGAGAAATTTACGCCAGACCATAAGTGTAAGTAAGCTTTTGTGATCGAAGTTGCTTACTCTGATGAGGAAGGATTTGAGGTCGAGGAGAAACCACATCAGGAGGATGAGGTTGAGGTGCCCGATGAAGAAGTAGAAATCTCGATGCACGCAATGGCCGGGATTAGAGGACCTCGAACAATGCGATTGCCAGCTTGGGTCAAGGATCGTAGGGTGGTGGTGATGGTAGACAACGGGTCATCACACAACTTCATCAATGCTGACTTGTCCCAGAAGCTGAACTTACCAACCACGAAGATTGAGCCTTTTTAGGTACGAGTAGCTAATGGTGAGAGGCTGCAATGCACTGAATCTTTTCGAAAGGTGCCGATCAAGTTCCAAGGAGTCACGGTAAAAGCTGATCTTTATGCTTTACCCCTAGTTGGACCTGATGTCGTACTAGGAGTCCAATGGTTGAAGGATTAGGCAAGGTGACCACCGACTACCGAACCGGAATTATGGAGTTCAATCTGGAGGTCGACAAGTCACCCTGAGCACCGGCACTGAGAAAGGAACTAAAGAAGTTGGGTTGAAGAGTACCAAAAGAGTTTGGCAAAGTGGTGGTCAAATATTCGCAGTAGTGGTCGAAAGTAAGGAGCCGCACACGGAGGAGGCCGGACAACAGCAGGGCGATTTGCGCGAGCTCCTTGAGGAATTAGAAGGAGTGTTAGGCGAACCCAAGGGCCTACCACCTCACCGGGAGTCCGACCACCGCATAGCCCTGATTAATGAGCAGCACGCAGTACACGTCCACCCCTATAGGTACGCTCACTTCCAGAAAACTGAGATTGAGAGGCAAGTGGCTGAGATGCTAGAATCGGGGTTAATTCAGCATAGCAAGAGTCTGTTTTCTTCACCAGTACTGTTAGCTAAAAAGAAAGATGGCACGTGGAGGTTCTGTACCGAATACCGAGCTTTGAATGTCGCGACTATCAAGGATCGATTTTCTATTCCTAGTGTCGACAACATGCTCGATGAGTTAGCTGGATCACATTACTTCTCGAAGCTCGATCTGAGAGCTGCTTATCATCAGATCCGGCTCCACAAAGCCGACATACCAAAGACAACTTTTCGTACGCATCAGGGACACTACGAGTATTTGGTGATGCCATTCGGGCTATGCAACGCCCCATCCACTTTCCAGTTTGCTATGAATTCTGTCTTCAAGGAGTATCTACGTAAGTTTGTTCTAGTCTTCTTTGATGATATACTGGTGTATTCAAAGTCATTGGCTGAACATCTGGAGCATTTGAGAGTGTGCTTGAAGTCTTGGAGGCTAACTCATTTCACATCAAGCCTTCCAAGTGCTCATTCGGACAGGAGATGGTCGAGTACTTAGGCCACTTTATATCTCATGATGGCGTGACGGTTGATCCAAGGAAGATAGAGGCGATGGTCGACTGGCCCAAGCCAACGAGTCTCACGCAACTCAGAGGGTTTCTAGGGCTCACCGGCTATTACCGGAAGT